CCAGCCCTTCAAATTTTTAAAACGCCCGTTTTCTTACACGGATACACCGCATTGTAGGCCCCATTTCCCCCCTTTTTTCCCTTCTTCTCAAAACTCGTCCACTTTTTCTTTAACTATTTAAATGCCATAATGCATACACAATGCTTTCACAAGCCAAGCAGCAGCCGTAGTGTTCTCTGTGGGGTACCTCTGAGCTTATTCAATTTGTAAGCGCTTCCTCTGTTTCATTGCTTCTTCTTGTACTTATGTTTTAATCTGCTTCGATGGGGTTCTGTAAATGGAGTTGTGTGTGGAACCCTTTTCTTGTTTTTTGATAAATTAAGCTGTGTTCATGCTTATATTGATTGTTCATTGTCCTGTTTTTTATCGGCATGCATATAATTTCAATCCCAATTTGTTCCCGTCCCCTGCATGCACTTAGGTTTGATTTAGATGGCACTGTGATTGGCATGTGAAACGATTCAGGGGATGAGAATCTGTTTAAATTCTTACCATCTTTGAGGGAGGAAAAGGGTTTATAATATAGTTTCCATGTTAGGGAGATGGCATACAGGAGGCATTACTGGGAACGTTCAGCAAAAAGGGCATGCAAGGTGTTGGTGGATGATGGTAAGAAGGAAGAGAGGTTAGTTGAGGAGGAGCAGGACAGGGAGGATACAAGCTTGTTGATCTACAAACTTGGTCGGGATATTTCAATAACATGTCTTCTCCGCTGCTCGAGATCAGAATATGGAAGAATTGCGTCGATAAATCGGGGGTTTCGGTCTGTAATTTCGAGTGGAGAAATTTATAAAATAAGGAGGCAGATGGGAATCATTGAACATTGGGTTTACTTCTCTTGCAGCCTTGTTGAATGGGATGCATTTGATCCGAGGTCTAACCATTGGATGCGTCTGCCTGTAATGACGTCGAACGAATGTTTTATGTCGTCGGATAAGGAATCGTTAGGTGTTGGTACTGAACTTCTTGTTTTTGGAATGGAAACACTTTCCCAAATTATATATAGATATAGTCTTTTGGATAACAAATGGTCATCTGGGATGCAGCTGAACACACCCAGGTTTTTGTTTGCTTCAGCCAGTGTTGGAGGAATTGCAATACTAGCTGGTGGTTGCAACGCTGACGGGAAACTGCTGAGATCAGCTGAGCTTTATAATTGTGATACAGGAAAGTGGGTGAATCTTCCTAGAATGAATAAAGCAAGGAAATTGTGCTCAGCAGTGTTTGTTGATGGAAAGTTCTATGTGATTGGAGGAATGGGGCCAGGTTACACCGCTCTTACTTGTGGCGAAGAATACGATATGAAGACTCAGACATGGCGTGAGATACCGAACATGTACCCGAGACGAAAGGAGGAAGAGGTGCGAAATGCTGCAGTTGAAGCACCTCCTTTGATTGCAGTTGTAAACAATGTCTTGTATTCTGCAGATTATACACGTTGCGAGGTTAGAAGATATGATAAGGCAACAAACTCGTGGGTGGTGTTAGGCCAATTGCCGGAGCGTGTGGTCTCAACAAATGGTTGGGGGGTGGCGTTTAGAGCTTGCGGTGATCGAATACTGGTTCTGGGTGGACCGAGGGCTTATGGGGGACGTTACGTTGAGATATACTCTTGGACCCCAGGTGAAGGAGGTGAGCTGAAATGGAAAGTGCTTGCCACAAGACAATTAGGCCATTTTGTGTATAACTGTGCAGTCATGGGATGCTGAGCCTCCTGCCTCCTTGATAGTGTGGGAACTTGCGCTGATGTATACACACACACATTGAATTAGAGAAGGTATAATCTTTCTCTAATCTCATACCATTTTCTCTACCCTTTTTCCATCACAGTTGGGATGTTCTCAAATGTACACATGCTTTAGATCATAGTCAAATCAATAAAGTTAAGTGCTGGTGCAAGTTCAAATCTCTAAGTTTGCATGCCTGCCTCCTCTCTTTCAAAACACTAAAATGCTACCGCTTCATCCCCTCAACTCCCGGAAAAGGATTCAAAGAAGTTAGTTGTTAGGATCAAAATCGATACCAATTGTTAGCTCCCATATCTATTGTTAGGAATAATTTTAGTCAACTCGATCTAACCCATTGACCTTTTTTTTATGTTGTTATAGAAATATTTCTTTGCTTATTAGTACTAGATTGTTCAAATGGCTTGATGACCTGAAAAAAATTCTATTAGCAGTGAATGCTACTCTACGAACCATTTTAAAAACAAAAAATAGCAATGTTCTTAGTGTCGTATGCCTGTATCATGTTCTAGGGTTTGCCAATTCTATAGCCTTCACATCCTAACCATATTAGATTTGTTCATTTTATTGAACCTCGTCCCTCTAAGTCTTGGAATGTACTTCATCCATTGAGGTTACTTAGGGTTCTTGACACACTTATCAAGTTGGTTACTAACCTCCTTCATCCATCTAAGTTCTTACACGATCTACATAGAAGAACCAAGGTAACCTCCTTAAGGGTGGGTTCGGATCTAGTCTTCCTATTAACAACCTCTTTATGATCTCCCTAATTGATTCCATACTGCATAATCTAAACTCCCCCAATAGTATCCTCTAATCTAACTGGGTGACATCACATTCCTTTATACCAAGTAGACCCTCAATAGTCCAAGTAAGTTCAAGATCAAAAGTTGCGTACTAATCATCCCTACGTAGCATTAGTCAACCCATAGCCCAAACGACCCTAGATAGGGCTCATGGACCAAAGTATATATAAGGCTAAGGCTCACTTGCATTTAAAAGTTAAATATTTCACTCAAAATAATATAATTTATTTTTATTAAAATAGTAAGGTGACACGTGGGCAGTCCGTTGAGTTCAGTTTGTGGGTAGGGTAGCCTTAAAATTACGCAAATGGGAGGGAAGCACAACTATTGGCTTGGCATACAATGAGTGGGCCCTCTCTCTCCCGTTAAGACATGGTGCCCCAACCACAGGGTGCGTTTCTGTTATTTCTTTTCATTATCTTTTTTCTTCAAATATTTTCATATTTTCCAATTTTCGATTATTACAGGAAAAAATACTATTTTATTATTTTATTTTACTTGGGAATTAATATCTATTATGAATGAAAATATTTTTATAAGTGTACGTGTTTCGATTTCAAGAAGAATGAGTATAGTTGCTCGACTTCTAATTCTTAGCTTTTTTGCCCTTAATTCTCATATTAATTAATTTTAATTAATTGATTGATGTTTTCATAATAACAAACTTACTTTTAATTATTAACCATTTTCTGTATTTAAAATAAGGTTGGGAATAACGATTCCAACGACTTTTCAGTTACTCAAATTAGAGCTAAAACGAAAAAAATTACAGTTAAGACAACATATCCGACGTGATGATGTGGCAGTTAAATCAAAATGATGGACAACTAAGTATGACATTTATAATTTTGAGAGAGTAACAAAGGGTAGAGTTTTTTTTTTTAATATTATTATTATTATATACCTAATAAAATTATTTTTTCATTGGATAGAAAGGATTGAGTTGAACACATAAAGAGCGGTGTAGCGGTTTGGCTCTATGGAAAGGGTTGAGAAAGTTCTTTATTCAAATTTACAAGAGGCGCTTGAAATAGATAGGTCGAGTTTAACCGAACCACTCTAAAATTACGGTGATATATTTTACCTGTTCTAGTTGATTATTGTTTTGACTTGAATTATTTTGTTCTAGTAAATATCATCTTTTTACTTGTTTGTAAAAAGTTTTCTAATTAGAAAAATTAATCACGTTTAAATAGTTAGAACCATATTCACCCCTCTCTATAGTTGTCGTACCGATCCAACACTAATACTCCCACATGTCTAATTATAATAGGCAATGGACCATTACGTACGAATATATAGTACTAAATTGGCATTGACAATTTAATTTTAGTGTCGTCACATAACACATGAAAACAAAATCAACATCATGAAATACAAAGGTCGATGATGATGACGACGACGACAATCAATGACCGATAAAACTATTTTAAATATAGTTAGCCAAAATAGATGTTAAAAAAAATGATTTTAAAAAGTCATAGAAAAAAAATTATTTTATATGAAAAGAAGTCTGTTGGATTCTTATAACAATTTCAGAATTAGCTCATTTAATATATCTATTATTTTAGGACTTAACCAAATAAGAAAAAAGTCATTTCATTGCATATAAATGGATGACTTGAATAATAGGACTTACCAACAACTGTACAAAATGTCGACCAATTTTAATATGTTTTTGATTCGTGATTATCACAAAATCATAAGACAAGAAAACTAGAATGGATTTAAAAGTTTGAGTAATTGTTGAATCCACACAAGTTCAGTATCTGGACACTTGGCTTCATTACCCTAATGAAGGTTGACAAAAGTCTTCAATTAAAAAAAGAATAACGAGATTGATGACATTAAACCTTGTACGCTTGAAGGATAGTTTCAAATGACACGAGATGATATGCAACATCCAAACGAGGTTGTCAAAGCTAGTAAACAAACCAAGTTGATGCATAAACTAGTTTTATAGTTTATAAATACATTACTAAATATATTTATAAGGCTCGTTTTAAATTAAGATTTAGAGATTTGATTTCTAAATCTGATACTAAACATATCTATCTTTCTGTTATGGAGAGGATGCAATACAATTATTAACCCGCGATCATATCGTGAGCAGCCCAACAATAGTTGTTGATTTGGATTGGGAGTGAAACGACATGAGGGAAGAAGGTGCGTTGATTTGTCCCCAACGTAAGTGAGCATATAGGTGATAAACGACAGGTGTTGAATTGTCGTATGTAGATGGGCTTTATTTGTGGGCCTTTACACTGTTTATGTGTAAGTAAGTGGGCCAGCCCTGATTGCAGCTCTTGCCTTTTTAAGCTCACTCTTCTTGCCGCCCTCTTCACCAAAAACCATTCATCATTATTGTTTCAACTTCCTTCCTTCATTCATTCATGGCTTCCTCCAAATTTCGCGACCACGAGATTAAAAATCTTGTCTTCAAATTGCACACTTTGCTCCCTCAGCTCAACCATAAGTTCGACCGCTCTAAGGTATATAAATTTTGTATTCATTATTTATGTGTACCAATTCTTTCTTATTTTACCGAGTTTTGAGTTAAGTAATCAGACATATTCATTAATTTTTTTTTTTAAAATTATGTTCACCTATCAACTTATGATGTATGCAGGTACCAATAGCAGAAATTTTGAAGGAGACATGTGATTGTATAAAAAAATTAGAGAGGGAGATAGACGATCTAAGTGAGAGGCTATGGGAGCAGCTCGAGTCAATGGGAGTTGACTTAGAAATGGTTAAAGATTTCTTCCCACCTAAAATTTCTAGCTCCTGATTCAATATTTGAAATTTGGATAAAATTTAAACACGAAATTGTCTTTTTAAAAAAGGTTTTTTTAGAACTAGAATTTAAATGCATTATAAAACAACAAAAGATATTAATTATTTTAACCTACTTTAGACATAAAATAGAGTCAACTTATTAGGATAGGTTTACTTTCTTCCCGTTAAAAAACAGTATTTATATGGTATGTATACATTTTTGTTGACTTCTATTTGAATTAGGTCAAAAGAGGACTGAATTGAGATAAACTAAGATCTCACGAATTGGAGACACAACCCTAAGGTCGATCTCGTCTTCAAGCTATGGCCGATAGAGAACCCGTGCTTCATCTGAAGTTTCTCTTCTTTCACCTATTTGGTGGCTTGGATTTCTTCTTGTATTGGACTTTTTTTCTTTATTTAGTCTTTGAACTACGTGATCTATTATGTTTGTCCATGATCTTTTATATTTGTTCTTGTAATCTAATTCCACTCGCAAACAAATGACGAGAAATAGAAAAATATTAGCTAGTCATACTTATATTAATTGTTAACATCAGCTTTATGGTATTTTTTCAACTCTACCCAAATTACCAAGTAAAAACAGACAAAATTTTTTTGGAGAAAAAAAAAACCTTCGAAATTCAAATTTAAAATTGATTTAGTGAAGTGGCATTATCAAACTTTGCAAGAATGACTTGCATATTAGTTACTATGGCCGAGTTATTGCTTGTATATCTAATAGACTTTGTCATCCTGGTCTTTGTTAGATGAACGTGACTCTCCATAATGATATGATATTGTCGGCATAAACTATCATGACTTTGTTTTGTATTTCTCAAAAGGCCTAAGCTTTCATGGATTTGTTTTGTGTTTTTGAAAAGGCCTCATCTCAATGGATAGAATATTCCTTAATTATAAATTCATGATCATTCCCTAAATTAGCAAGGTGGGACTTTCATCCAATAGTCTTAACCTCTCAAAACTACGTAGAATCCATCTCCTCCCATCTGTCCAAATAACTTTCCTGCTCCGTCGTCTCACTACTCATCCACTTCTGAATATCGCTCTACGATTTGTCTCACACAGTCCTTCAAAGCCGCTCCACCGTCGCCGTTGGTGGTTCGGGATTTTAGCGACTGGGGCAGATTCGAGGGTTCGATGAGGGAAACTTGGAGAGAGAGCTTCGAAGTTACTTCGGAGAGGAATTGAGAGAAATTATTGAGGTGAAGCAGGAATTAGGGTAACGAGTGACGTTGCGGACAATCTTGATTATGTCGGCTGCATTAGATGATTTTTCGCCGCCAATGATGAGAGTGGTGAGGACGACGGCGGAGATGGCGGCGGTGAGCGATAGAGATTTCTGATTGGGGATTTTTGGAGTTTGGTTTGGACATTTGCTCTAATGTCCATACTTGTGTTGGGCTGAGTTGCCACAAAAAGCCCAAATGCAAAGAATAAGTTGCAGATGTAAGCATTTGAGCAATACAGTTTAAGAAATAGCTGGATACCTCGGACATCCATTCGAACATTAAGGTATGAACCCTCGTATCCATGTCAAATCATTTTTGCATACCATACTGAAGACCAACCTCGTATACCAACCTCTAACTCAAGGTACGAGGTGTAATATCGGCACATTCATGTTGTTTAACATTGTTCTAAAAAACTATTTCGAAATGAAGAGTCCCAATACATTCATCTTACAATAGTTGCTCACACTTTGACACATGCATTTGACATGGGTAGCTCACTTAGGTCATATGACCCATAGATGCTGCAGAACTTAACTTGAGAACTGCATGTCAAAACTCATGTTGGAGCCCCAATTTTTGAGGTTATGATCGGGGTCCTACCCTGCCCTCTTTGAGCATGTCTTTGACACTCTTGATGTCACTTTTGCCTTTAATCTTGTTTATGTCTTAGCTTGACTTTCATGCATACTCTTCTTGGTGCCTTGAATGGTGTACCGTCGTCCTCAGTCTCATTATGGTACACCACTTACATGTTGTCTTGTGACTCACTATACATGGAGTTACAATCAACTCTTTTCGCAGTACGATTGTGACACTGTACAAGTTCGACATTACAGTGGCGGCATAGTAATGTAAAGATAATATTTTATTCCATACACAAAATTTAATATATTAAATACTTCTCTTTTTATACCTCAAGTCAGAGTACTTGAATTATTTTTCAGTTCATACTTATTCTCGCAACTTAAACTTCAAAGATACTGAGGGTCATCTATTGCGGGTGTATTTACAACATCAGCCCATAATTATTTGGCAATCCATAATGAATACTCATACTCTTTGCCCGCTCATTCAATGTTTTGTTCATCTTTTTAGTAACACCAAACACATCTGACTTGTGTTTCAGGAAATAAATCCATACCTACATGTTGAAATCATCGATGAAGATGATGTAAAACTTTGATCCACCGAGTGATGGAACTTGAGATGGTCCCCAAATGTTTGTATGAACCATTTTCAATCACATTTTCTTCAGTTCTCTAGCAGCCTTTGTGAAACTAACTCGTTTTTATTTACCCATCAATCAACTCTCACAAAAACTATATTAACTTATTTTAGGCCTTCTAAAACTCCTTTCGCAACCAAAATATTTATTCTTTTGACGCTTATATGTCCAAGTCTATTGTATCATAGATTTGAATTGAAACTCTCAGTAACAACAACCTTGTTTATATACCGTGCAGTGGTGTATAAGGTTCAAGATTTTGTGTCACGTGCTATCACCATAACACCTTTCACAATCTTCCACGAACTCTTCCCAAAATTTGTTGCATAACCTATGCTACTCATATCAATAAAAATTAGGTTTTTATCGAGACCAACAATATATCTGACATCTTTTAATATTCACTAATTTCATTTATAAGTTTTTATGGAGTCATCCTCCTTCCTTCAATCTCCAAGACTTTATTGTCGGCGAGAGACACTCTCTCTAAATTTTCAGATTTGAAATTTCGAAACATTTTCTTATTTGGAGACGAACGAAAAAGATGCATATAAATTCAAATCTAGGATTCAATCGGGTTGTCGACCCTGAGGATTAAAGTACTAACGTGTTCTGCTGAATTTATAGAATTATTATCATCCTCCATTTGTGATTTTTTGGTTTTGTACAATCTATCCAAAAATGTCTTTTTTTTCTCCACAATCGCAAGACGCTACGTTTGATATGATTGAATTTTTTCGTACATATTCGATAGCGCCCTCAACAGACCAGACTTTATCTTCTTCTTGATGATATTAAATGCCACGTTCCTGAGCAACGTCAATCGGATCACCCTAGAGTTTGCCTATCCTTTAAGCTTCCACTGTTTTATGATCATAATAGATAGGGGAACATTACATATTATAACAAATCTCTCCTAGCTCTGATACTAGTTGTTAGGATCCCACAACATCACCACAGTCAATCTAAACAAACACAAGGAACAGCAGAAAAAGAAAAAGAAAATAAAAAGATTAAATGGGTTTCCAATCACACACCACACCCATTTGCCTATTAGCTATTTATTTAGGCTCTCCATTCCATTTGGGCACAGAACATTTGCTACTCACTTCACAAAATTCAACATTTAAACACAAAATAATAACATTTACACCAAAATTTCAGGATGGATCATGGAATCATATGAACATCCCATTAAAATAATTCATTATTCTTTTTTCAAAATTAGATCCCTTCCTAAAAAGTAAAGCGAATATGAGCTATTAATCTCTGTTTAATTTGTTATCGGCGTGGAACGCTCATTTCCCTCCACCGTTCAAATTCCATATTCCGTTTGGAAAATGTTAAGATCTTCCAAATGGGGTTTTTTTTTTTTTTTCTTTTTGAAAATTGTTTAAAGCATCGTTTCCCCCTTGATGATGTAAGGCCATAAGCCGCCTTCTTAATGCCGTCGTCCTTCCTTCCCAGTTTATTTTAAACATTTTTGTGCTTTCCCCTCTCTTCCCATCTGCATTTTTTTTCCCATTTTTATGATTTGGGTCTTCTGGGAATTGCTTTGGGACTATGGCTTCCAATATTGGAATGATGGACAGTGCTTATTTTGTCGGTAGGAATGAGATTTTGACATGGATCAACAATTGCCTTCAACTCAATCTCTCTCGCATTGAAGAGGTTTTTCTTTCTGCTTCTTTTGTTCATCCCTTTCGCCATTGTTGTTCTTGGGTTTAATGTTTGTATTGTAATGACTGATGTGGGTTTTCTCTGTTTATGCATTTTGAGTTTCCGGTCGGTCCCCCGTTTCTCCCATCTCTTTCCTTTTGGATATCCATTGTTCGATGTTAGGATATACGGTGGTATACACGTTTGTGTTTGTAGAAATGCTTGAAAAAGAGGAATCAATTTTTGCTCCAACCTCCAAACATTTTCAAACCATGTTCTTCAGTTGCTTTATTTTTCTGGATTTGGTTGAATTTCTCTAAGAACAAATGGAGGTTTCTGGGCAATGGCTAACTATGACATATGATAGTAATTTTGTTACCTTTACTTAAGGAAAGAAATGGGTCATAATGTTCTTGAGTTAATCTCACATTATCCGTTTGCATTATACTCCTCGTTGAGGACTGACTAGTTCCTTGTAAAGATTGAAGCATAGGATAGGAAACCCAGAATGTAGCTGTTTTCGTTTAATCTTAGTGTACAAAACTTGAAATCTACAAGGGTTATTAATGATTATGGGCACTGGATTATGTATGAACTCTAGTGAAACAAAATTTAGTCATGCGAGATTAAGCTCTCATATTCAGAGATTTTGTCTTAGCCACATTTTCTCAGAGCAAGTCATATGTCTATTATTATGATATTGAATTCATTGCAACTTGCAAGGAAAATTACTATTGGAAGTAATCTTGGAGTGATTATGATTATCTCTCAGTATCCTTTTTGCTGTGTTTGTCGTTCTCCACAGGCTGCATCCGGGGCTGTGCAGTGTCAGATGATTGATATGACCTACCCAGGAGCTGTCCCAATGCATAAGGTTAGTTCTATCTCTTATCCATGTTTTTGTAGATTGTGAGAATAATTATTGGCTACTGTATGATACTGAGTTGTCTGTCTTGGATGTGTTTAAAAGGTCAATTTTGATGCCAAAACTGAATACGATATGATCCAGAATTACAAGGTACTTCAGGATGTATTCAATAAGTTGAAAATTGAAAAGGTATGTTATGAAATGGGTAGCCTTTTATCTCAGCTCTTGACATGTCTTGTGGTTGATAGCTAGAAAGATGTTGTTTCCTTTGTTATTTGTGGCAGCATATTGAAGTGAATAGGCTTGTAAAAGGTAGAACACTGGATAACTTGGAATTCTTGCAATGGCTGAAACGCTACTGTGATTCAGTAAACGGTGGCATAATGAATGAGTATGCTATGCTAATTTTCTCCTACTTTATAAACACTGTCGTGTCTTCTTTCCATTTTGTCATCAATGAATGTCTTTAACAGAAACTA